TGAGCGTGAACAGATGAAACCCGAGGAGACCCTGGAGAATGCAGGATCTGCTTCCACCCATACAGAGATCCACAGCTGGATTGATGACATCACAGCTAAACTAACACACAATCACCGACTCGATACACACTGACTGAAGCAATACACTGTGCGCAAATAGTTCATAACCCTCATGTTGTGTTACAATTCTGTACTGTGCATTCACAGTTTTATATGTTACAGTCTCATTCCAAAATGGATTCCTCTGCACTTCCTCAGTGTAAATGAAAATCAGCTGCTTCAGTGCAACATCTACATCAGCAGGATGATTAAGATGAAGCCAGGATGGACATTTCAGCAAGACAATAATCCAAAACACAGCCAAGGAGACTCTCAGAGGCTTTCAGAGAAAGAAAACCAAGCTGTAGAATGGCCTAGCCAGTCACCTGAACTGAATCCAATAGAGAATACAGAAAAATCTCAGATTTAATAGACGAGACCAACAGAAGCATTAAGATTTGGACTCTCTGTTGAAGTCTGTGAGGAACTCACACCTGAGCACTGCATGAAGCTTCATTCTCCATATAAGAGGCGTCTTTAAGCTGCCGTCATTAAACAAGCCTTTAGTATACGCTTATTTCACGCGGCCGCCATTTTAAAGAACCAAAGCGAGGCTGCGGTGGGAAGAAACCCAGAAGTATAGGACGAGCACTGTAAACATTGCAGTAACATGCTGTGTACTACAAACTGTTGCCGAGATTTCAAAATGCAGAAAACGGTGTAACAAACACTTTAATATTATTCAGTAAGTTTATTTTAAACAATTAAAAGCAATTTAGCATCAAACAAGATCACAATCTCAGTGATGTGCTTAAGTGTCCTCCTAGGCTTCAGCTCATGGCACTAGTTAAACACCATGAGGACGCTTTCCTGCTTCAGTCTATGTAACCCGGTGAGTGATAAACACTGCAGCACACCCTCGTGTTGTCTGTAATAGTGTTGTCCTGGAACTGAAGTTTTAAACCCGGCTATTTCCCCGCTAATATGGAAGCGCTGCTGAGCGCGGATGACTCGACTGATCTTCACAGCTTCGCGCTTCAGTCTCCGTGTATCTGTGTTTGGTTTGCGCTCAGTTTACCGCTCTTCACCCAGTGCAAACACAGATACACGGACTGGAGTGCGAAGCAGCCGTCAAGATCAGCCGAGTCACCAAGCAGATCGCTCTGCTCGTCTGTGTTTGTGCTCAGTATATAGCGGTGGATGAACAGATGACCTTCTCAGCCAATCACAATCATTTCTTTTGAGCACGTGAACACAATGGCAAATCAGCGCTGTTTTAAGAAAGCCATCAACATTGCCTTAAATGTTAGCGCTAAATTGCCAGTTTTTCTTTTAATTCAGTATCGTGACGAGTCTAATATAGTGAAAGAATCAGTTTATTAACTCGAGTTTGATAAATGGCATCTAAAACGTGTGTTTGGAAAAGAAAACGTTTGCTAACTAGTGCCATTTCCCTTAACTTAGCTGAAAATGAGCTCTGATGTCCCTTTTTACATTCACCATTCATTCAGAACAGACCTTCGGGTCACCCGGAAGGTGGTGAAATGATAAATTTGTGTCACTTTATATTCGCTGATATAATATACAGCCAGTTACACAACATTCCTATGCAACTCCCAATGATACTTCCGGGTTTCTTCCCACCGCAGCCTCGATTTCGCTTTTGAAAATGGCGGCCGCGTGAAATCAGTCTATAAAACACATTGCAGTAGTTCAGCTCTTTCTCCTTCTGTCATTGTTATTACACACAACTCATTTACCAGATTATTTTGTTTTGTTTCATTTTTATGTTTGCATTGTTTGAGGTTTTACCAAAATCTGCTTCAATTGACCCTTCGCTAAGCCACGCCCAAAAACCACCATCCACCAATCGTGGCTTAGCAACTGTAGCTACGTGCAGGGGCTCTGTCAAGCTTTCGAGCGAGTGCATATGGATTGTGCAAATCTGATTCCTAAGTTTGGACAGGATGCTGGAATTTTTTCCCTTTTCAAAACCGAAAACCCAAGAGGAGAAATGCCAGCGTGGATCAAGCTGTGTGAGAGGGCTAAAGGAGCGGAGATATGTTGGTTTTGTTTTGATATTCCTGACGTATTCAGTGATAGACTGATGACAATAACTCACACACCTCTTACCCTCATAGATATATACACTAGATATCGCATAGGGACCCTGAGCATGCATCAATAGCGCCGCCACATTGGTACAGTGCTCCCAGTACAAATGTCATTCAACCGTACTAGTCAAGACAGTGTTATTACGCGAAGATGCTGGACTTTAGCGCTGTCTACGGGTGTAGTAACGAGCAAACAAAGAAAACAAAGCACAAAGGCAGAACATTTCATAGGTAATATTATGATTTTTTCTGTTTTTGTATGTTCTGAACTCTTGTGCTAATCAGGTAACGTTATTGATGATAAGTCACTTACTGCATTCACCATACGGCAAAGCAGCTCCAACTCACACTAAACACTCGGCTTATGCTAGTTTTGTTGAATAAAATCAGCAAACAATGCAAAAGAAATATGACAACGAGATGCTGCGCTGCCAGAAACTGGTATTATTGTTGCCTAACGTTAGTGAAAGAGTCGTTCGGGGGATTCATTCACAATCGCTCCCTCCGTCAGTATGAGCAGTGAAAGCAGGAGATGAGCTGTGTTTCAGGACATGATTAGATTAAATTTAACAGGGAGGGTAAATAGTAGATTTCTGTACACACAAACACAAGCTTTTTGCCCGTGCGGTCACTGATCCATCAATGTAGAAAAGTGATGTAAAATTATAATTTTCGTAATTAGAAAAAAAATTACATACTAACATCCAGGAGAACTCCCGATCATAGATATATGTGTATGTGTGTATATCTCTGGCTCTGGATGGCCACAGTCCTCCACTGTACCTTGGTCCCGCAATCATTTCAAAGGAGCGCTACCCTGTACCAAGATGGCGGCGCTATTGACGCATTCCGTCCAATAGACAACAATAGGCCAGGCGACATCTAGTGTATATCTAGTGTATATCTTACCCTAAACAGATCTAAACTGGGATTCCTATAAAAATACAAAGCAGGTCATGTTTCACAGCTGTCTTGTTCCTTTTTTTGGCTCGATATTGTGAGTAATGCTCCGTTTAAGCCTTTGCCATAACGTTAGTAATGTAGTCATACTAATAGCGAATAGGTCATAATGACATGAGTTATTGATCCGGAAATTACGAATCTGCGAATCTGTTGCTAACTTTACTGAACTTTACATTTATATCTATTTTAAGCTATGAATATTTGACATTACAAATCAACAGAACAAAACCGAGATATAATCACAAACTGAGCAGCTGCGATCAATATACTTCACCAGCAGCTGTTTTTCAGTCATTTATGAAGAGCACACAAACATACTGAGTTAACTTACTAGGTACTAGGTACTAGGTAACTTACTGTATATTGTTATGGTTCAATTATGCTAATATTCTGCACAAATCCATCAGGTTCCCTTTCTGGCTGCTCTATTTATGAAAGAACTATGTAAAAGCACTGTCATGTGTGTTTCCTGGTCGTTTAGTAACGCCATATTTCATTGCACAACAGTAGTCTATCAGGCTTTTTGGCTAAAAATAGAGTAATGACGGTTTAATTAGTTATTATTAGATTATTTGTAAATTTCCCCTCTCCTGCTGAGCCAGGGCTAAGCCAGGGGTGGCCAACCCTGTTCCTAGAGAGCCACATTCCTGCAGATTTTAGTTGCAACCCATATCAAACACACCTGCCTGTAATTATCACGTGGTGTTCAGGTCCTAATTAATTGGTTCAGGTGTGTTTGATGTGGGTTGCAACTGAAATCTGCAGGAAGGTGGCTCTCCAGGAACAGGGTTGGCCACCCTTGGGCTAAGCTGTTGAATGGTTAGCGTATGAGGCAGCTAGGCTAAGCTAGCTTTACTTTTGATCGAATTATTTTCTAATCGGTTGCCTATTATGCCGTGAATATACCCCTGTAATGCAGACTGCACTCCTTTTTTTGTCTGGCTTTCTCAGATATCTCACCTGTTCGCCAAAAATGACTAATTATATCCCAAATGTCTGAAGACGGCACACACACATTGAAAAAGCCGTGCCAGGCACGAAAGCTTGACAGGCGTAGCAACAGTAATTAAGGAGGGCGGAGCTTAACGAAGGGTCCATTCCATGTCAATAGCTCCTTTACAAATGTTATTACCACAAAAAAACATGTCAGTATGTTACATGCTTGTATTTATATGCAATATTTATATTTATTTATATGCTTGACCATTGTAGTGTCCTTCATATACTCAACACCTTAACTCGTTCTGACTGATTGTAAATGTGCTCGTTTTGGAAAGTTGCTTTGGAGCATTAATTATTGTTAAAAGCGCTTTACAAATAAACTTGAATTGAATTGGCCAATCGGAAAGGACAAAATCATGAAATCATGAGGCAAAACCTTCAGAAAGTTAGTTAATAGCACATTTTAGTGTGGACTAAACCACCAAACCACAATAAAAATAATGTTTTTTGAAAATACCAAGGCCTTAGTCTGTTTCACAAATTCACCCCACACGCATAAATACAAAAACATCTTAAAGGCGACCTGTTCTGCCCCTTATTCCAAGATGTAAAATAAGTCTCTGATGTCTCTAGGGTGTGTGTGTGTGTGTGTGTGTAGTTTTAGCTCAAAATAGCACACAGATAATGTTCTCTAACGCTCTGAAACTGACACTTTGATCCTAATTGTGGAGTTTTGGTGACTGTCGCTTTAAATTCAAATGAGATTGTGCTCTTTTCAAAAGAGGGCGGAGCTACAAATGCCTGTGTGTCAGCATAGTGGCAGATTAAAAAAACAATACTAACATCTTATGCTAATGAGGGAGAGATGGACTAGTGGGCGGGGTTTTCCCCCTCTGATGACTTGTACAAAGGGAGAAAGTCAATCTGTGACCATAAACACACCTCTGAAACAGTAGGCTCCTAGTTTCATTGTGGGTAAAGGGTAGCCCGTCCGGTCGGCGTTGCGGTACATGGTCCTGACGCCCAGTTGTCCTCGGCCGCACTGCAGTCTGGGAACGGAGACCGGGTATCGAGCGCTGCCATCCGACAACCAGCCGAAATCGCATTGGTCCATGCCGTCTCTCCAGGCGGCATGAAGATGACCAGGAGACGCCAACACTGAGTCCTGACCCACACACGCCGAGCGGGCCTCGTCCAGAGACAGTTTCTGATCAATGAAGAACACCTCACCTGAACACACACATGCACACAAAAGACTTTACACACACTTTCTTTAAGCACTAGAAAAATGCCTATATGGATAGAATTCATTCGTTTATTTATTTATTTATTTATTTATTTATTTATTTATTTATTTATTTATTTATTTATTTATTTATTTATTTATTTATTTATTTATTTATATTTATTTATTTATTTATTCATTTATTTATTTATTTATACGTTCGTTTGTTCGTTCGTTCTCCGTTTATTCATTCATTGATTAATATACTTATTTATTTATTTATTCATTCATTTTTATTAAACTAATTATTTATTCTTTCATTCATTCATTTATTTATTTATTCTTTTATTCTTTTATTCATTCATCTATCCGTCCGTCCATACATCCATCCATTTCATTCATTCATGTATTCATTGTATTGTAATGTATTTATTTATGTATTCATTCATTCATTCATTCATTCATATTCTTTATTCATTGATTTATTCATTCATTGATTTATTTATTCTTTTATTCATCTTTTTATATTTTTATTTATTCTTTAATTCTTTCTTCATCCATTTATTTATTTATTCATTCATTTTTATTTAATTAATTATTCATTCATTCATTCATTCATTCATTCATTTATTTATAAATAATTTTTTTTATTAATTAATTTATTCATTCATTTTTATTTAATTAATTATTTATTTATTTATTCATTCATTCATCCGTCATCCGTCCGTCTGTCCATCCCCCCATTTATTCATGTATTCATTTATATTTATTTAATTATTCATTCATTAATTAATTCATTCATTCATATTCTTTATTCAATGATTTATTCATTCATTTATTCATTTAATTATTATTTTTATACATTTATTATTTTATTTATTCATTCCTTCCTTCATTCATTCATTCATTAATTTATTCTTTATTCATTCGTTCATTGTCATTTATTCAATTATTCTTTTATTCATTCATCCATTCATTATTTATTTAATCATTCATTCATTCATTCATTATTTATTTATTTATTTATTTATTTATTTATTCACTTATTTATTCTTTATTCGTTCATTCATTCAATTATTCTTTTATTCATTCATCCATTCATTATTTTATTTAATCATTCATTCGTTTATTTATTTATTTATTTATTTACTTATTCATTCTTTTATTTATTTATTTATTTTTTTTATTCGTTCACTCATTCGATTATTCTTTTATTCATTCATTAATTAATCCATTCATTTATTTATTCATTCATTTATTTATTCATTTGTTCTTTTATTTATTATTTATTTTTTCATTTATTTATTCATATGCAACAATGATATTGATGGTTCAAACACTAGAGGCAGCTAAATTAAAGGTAAGGTTTATATATTAAATTTGGCATTTTAGTACTTTGAAGTAATGATATAGTGTCTAATAAATAATATCAAGAGAAATAAGTCTGTAAAATAACAGAAATGTGCTGCACTTCATCACAAGTTTTCTGTAGCGTAATATACAACACCAACACCAGGCAATATAGCACTGCAGACTATTACACATGTTCAGAAAACTTTAAAAGGTTGAAAGTTGTCGGGAAAAAGGATTAAGCTCCCATAATGCAACTCAAAAGCAGAAATAAATATAAAATAAAAACATATATCACAAAATACGGAAAACTGCTCATTTATGGATATTTTCACTGAAAAGGTCTTCTCAATCTCACTAAGGTTTAATTAATGCTGTAGGTTAATTGATCTATAAACTCACCTTGTAGTTTTCCCACATAGCAGTAAACGTCATACTTCTCATAGGCGTTCCTGACATCGTATGATTTGACCCCCGGCTTCATCCACTTATCACCATGACAACCGTCACGTGGCCTAATGATGGGATATCTGTGGAGAAAGATATGGCTCAATGATTGGCTTCACAGCAATAAGGTTGCTGGTTCAAGTCCCGGCTGGACCAGTTGGTAGAGACAGTATGGTGGAGACATTTTTCTCTTTTCCTATGATTACAGACATGTGCAGGAACCACTTAACCTAAAAACTACTTTCAAATATTAAAAATTTAATACAAAAAAATACAAAAAGCGCCTCTTTTTTAGGTGTTTATTATAACACAGACAACATATACAGACATTTTAAACACTTTCAATAGTGCTTCATGAAAATGCATGTGGATTTGGGAAGCTTTTAAATTTGGGTAGGCAAAATCCAGGCGGAAATCCCAAAATAACAGCAGAGTTTAACAGGTTAAAGCTTTTTAAGGTTAATATTATTCGCCCCCTTAAGCAATATTAGTTTTGGATTGTCTCCAGAACAAACCACTGTTATACAATGACTTGCCTAATTACCCGAACTTTACCCTAATTACCCGTGTTAAGCCTTTAAATGTCACTTTATAGGTTCTACATACCCTGAACCTTTGTTTGAGATTTCACCAGATGTGTGTGTTGACCATCAGTTAAGACAATGTTAGCACCTGTCAGCTTTAATTGTGGTGAAACTTAATAATTTAGAGCTTTTGTCAGCTAATTTCAGCTTCCGGGTTTAAAATATTTTTGGGGCGGATCAAAATCGGTGACGTGGCGAAAAACTGCAAGTGCAAAGATGATGATTTCTCATTATTATTCATAGCGGAGTTTTCTTATCCTACACTTTTATACACATATACACTTATTTAACAACACACTTTACATGCCAATTTGCACATAACAGCTGCACATAAAACATTGTATATAGTATATATATATAGCTCTCCATACACTTGTCTATTTGTATATTTTGCATTCACTTCTTACTGCTTTTTTATATATTTATTATCTGTTTATTGTCCTGTCTCTGTAATTCTGTTGCACTGTAGAAGCTCTGTCACAAAAACAAATTCCTCGTATGTGCAAACATACCTGGCAATAAAGCTCTTTCTGATTCTGATATGAGAAGAGCCGGCTTCTTAATTATTCAAGAGGGCTCGTTCTTCCTGAAAGCAACGCAGATCTGCCAAGCTATGAGACCCAATGACTGGGTGAGATCGTGTCCGGGCACATCACGGGTCATGATCCACCAGGTTTGTTGCATGTTATTTTCCCAATATGTTGTCAAGGCCGATACAGCAAACTGTTGGCTTACAGCAAGCATTTTTGTCGGGAGAGCCGTATCAGAATTAGAGAATGGCAGACTTTGTCTTTTATCAATTGAAGTGGCGGTTCTAGTTTAGATGGCCCCTTGCCTAATTACCCTAACCATGCCTGGTTAACCTAATTAACCTAGTTAAGCCTTTAAATGTCACTTTAAGCTTTATAGAAGTGAAAAATATCTAGTCAAATATTAGTTACTGTCATCATGACAAAGATAAAATAAATCAGTTATTAGAGATGAGTTATTAAAACTATTATGATTAGAAATGTGCTGAAATAATCTGCTCTCCTTTAAACAGAAATTGGGGGAAAAAATAATACAGTCTTCAACTGTACGTATTGTACAGTTTTATCACCTGACGGTTTGGTCGGCCATCCATCCGGCGTCACACTGCTCGAATCCGTCCTCGTATGCTGAATAAAGCTGTTCAGGGGTGGCGATGCTGGAGTCCACATCTGCACACGCCTGCTGAGCTTGTGTGAAGTTCAGACTGTAGCGGCTGGTGTTCGCCCGGTAATGAAACACAACACCTGAACACAGAAAACACACGTCAGGTCCTGCAGACACCAGCAAAAACTATAACCATTTGATCAAATTTGATGTAGGAAAAAATTGTTAAAATAAAATAAAATAAAATAAAATTAAATTAAATTAAATTAAATTAAATTAAATTAAATTCAATTCAATTCAATTCAATTCAATTCAATTCAATTCAATTCAATTCAATTCAATTCAATTCAATTCAATTAAAGGTCGCTGGTTCAAGCCTCATCTGGGCCAGTTGGCAATTTCTGTAACAAAATAAAATAAAATAAAATAAAATAAAATAAAATAAAATAAAATAAAATAAAATAAAATAAAATAAAATTAAATTAAATTAAATTAAATTAAATTAAATTAAATTAAATGTCTCATCTGGGCCAGTTGGCATTTCTGTATGGAGTTTGCATGTACTTCCCATGTTGGCATGGGTTTCCTCTGGGTGCTCTGGTTTCCCCCACAGTCCAAACACATGCACTATAGGTGAATTGGGTAAGCTAAATTGTTTGTAGTGTATTTGTGTGTGAATGAGAGCGTATGGGTGTTTTCCAGGGATGGGTTGCAGGTGGAAGAGTATCCGCTGCGTAAAACATATCCTGGATAAGTTGGCGGTTCATTCCGCTGTGGCAACCGCTGATTAATAAAGGGACAAAGCCGAAAAAGACGAATAAATGAATGAAAAAATAAATTAATGAAAAATTATGAATAAAACTACATTTTTTACATTTAATTATTAAAAAATGTATCAATAAAAAATGATTAATAAAATAAATTAATTTCAATAATTTTTTTTTTTCAAAATAAAATAAATGCAAATAAAAAATTAAAACAAATTAAATTTTAAATAAATAAATAATAAAATGTAATAAAATGTAGTAAATTACAATTTAATAAAAAACAATAAATTAAAATAATCAAAACATTTAAACTAATATAAAACATTTAATAAACTAATTAAAATTAGATTAAAAATAAAAATATAAAAACATTTAAGAAAATAAAATAATAAAAAACAATACAATAATTAAAAATAATAAATAAAATTATAAAAACATTTATTAAATTAATGAAAAATACAAATACAAATAAAAATATAAAAACATTAAATCAAATAAAATAATGAAAAATAATAAAACAAATATAAATATAAAATATAAATAAAAAACTAACTAGACATTTAAAAAAGTTAAAAGATGCAACTATTAATAGTTGAAATGTGCAAAATGATAAGGAAATAAGTGACAACAAATGGCAGTTTTGATGTGTTTTTGTGATGTTATTTTAATACATTACAAAACCATCATCTTCTCCACTCAAAAACACTCACTGACAGTATATTTTATTAAATAATAAACAAAATAAAAATAATAAACTACTCAGCAAGGAATTATACAATTAATAAAAAGTGACAGTATTAAGGATCATTTTTAGAACTTTCTATTTATCTTTAAATGCAGAAAATATTAAACATATCACAATTTTTAAAACTTCAAATCATCATATCATCATATTAACATGATTTCTGAATAATCATGTGATGCTGAGGACTGGAGTAATGGAGTAAAATTCAGCTTTACATCACAGCTATAAATTATATTTGACTATTAATTCTTACAGAAATCAGTTATTCAAATTTGTAATAATATTTCACAATTTTTGCATTATTTTTGCTCAAACATTTTTGGTCAGCAAAAATTATCCCACATTTGAAGACAGTGGTTTGAGCGGTGTGTGTATACTGTATGTTCATCTGTAAGTAATTTAAGAGGAACTGGGGGGAATTGTGCAGTTTTTGTTTGGAAGAGGAGCGTCTTTGTACTGAACGCAGGACGTTTAGACCACAACAACACGCTGTTGTCTGAAAAATGAAGAATCATGGTGTTGTTCTGCAATTCAGGAACCTGCCGTGTCAAATACTGAACATGATCTGAATATTAATCAATCAGCATTACACAGCAGCACTCAAACATCGAAATCCACACTTTACACATGCATTAAGCTGATTTACTGTACACTTTCTCTCTCAATGACCCTCTGAACATACACAGCAAGTCCAGAATAATAATATATATATGCAAAATAGTAAATAAAAGGTAATATATTATATATAAGACGACGTACAATGAAAGGATCTCAAAACATCTCTTTTTAAAATTTATATAGACAAAAAAAAGTCTTTAAAACACTATGCATATGACATAAAAAATGATGCCGCTTAAATGTCTGATTGTGCACTGATAAAAGAGAATTAATTTATGGAGATAAAATGAAATACAGTAAATAAAATCTTATGTAAGTTTTCCAAGTAAGGTTTATTTATGAACATAAAACAGCAAAAAAAAAAAAAAAAAATGTCATTAACAATAAATATTTTTAAACATTCTGTTTCGTATATAAGGATTTAAAGATCTTTTTACTTTTCACTTTGACCTGATAAAATAAAAAATAAATAAAGTAAAATAAAATAAAATAATAAATTAAATTAAATTAAATTAAATATAAAACCTGTCGCTGTGGTACACTTTTGTGCAATACAGGTGCATATTTATATCTTAAAGGTACAATTTTTAATAAAAATTTTTACCTTTTTGATACACTTTGGGACCTTTAATTACTATGTGGTACACCATTTTTTTTTTTTCATTTTTAAACCAAACAAAACAAAACTTCTATATTTTCCACATAGATAAACAAAACTAAAAAAAAAAAAAAACACTAAACAAAGAAGAAAAAACTAAATAAAACAAAAAGGCAAAAACAAAACAAAAAAACAATAAAACTAAACTAAAAACAAAACAAAATTGAAAAGTTAAATAAAAATCTAAACCAAGCAAAACAAAACAAAACATCCACGTCCCCCAAAAAACGAAGCAAAACAAAACAAAAAACAAAAATAAAACCAATCAAGCGAAACAAAACAAAACAAAAAATGTAACAATAAAACTAAACTAAACAACAAAACTAAACAAAACAAAAAACGAAAATAAAAAATCTAAACCAGGCAAAACAAAACAACCCCCCCGCAAATTTAACAACTAAACTACAAAACAAAACAAAACAAAAATAAATCCAACCAAGCAAAACAAAACAAAACAAAAAATGTAACAATAAAAGTAAACTAAACTACAAAACAAAACTAAAAACTAAAATAAAAAATTTAAACCAAGCAAAACAAAACAAAAACCCCTAAATTTAACTACTAAACTACAAAACAAAACAAAAATAAAACCAACCAAGCAAAAAAAACAACCCCCTCTCCCCAAAAACAAAACAAAACAATAAAACTAAGCTAAACTAAAAAAAAACAAAAAAACAAGCAAAGCAAAACAAAAACTAAACAATAAAACTAAGCTAAACAACAAAAAATAAAATAAAACAAAACAAAGCATATATATATATATATATATATATATATATATATATATATATATATATATATATATATATATATATATATATATATATATATATATATATAAACTAAGCAAATCACAGCTTAACTAAACTAAAAGAAAACTAAAAACTAAATTAAACGAACCAAGAAAAACAAAATAAACAACTTCAATACCATATTCCACCTAGACTCCACCTAAAGAGGACAATTTTATAGATGGCACTTTTCTAAATATGTGCTTTTCTCCCACACAGCTAAAACAGGCGAACGAGTCAAATAAAACACAAGCTCTGCTCCAGCAAAACTGAGCGAATGCTGCTGTCGGATGAGTTTGTCCAGCCCGACTCTGCCATGTGTCCTTATATGGCCTCCTTTACTTGTGTTTTTGGGCACATTGGGTCTCTTTTCTCAGAGAGATGGCAGCGGGTAAGAGCTATAATTGAGCAGTAATCAGAGGGCATTGAGTGTGTTTGGCAGGAATATCAGTGTCTCTGTGGGCCTACAAACACTCCAGCAGAAACTCACCTGAGCCAGATACACTCATGACTGACTGCTGGAGACAAACACACTCCTGTTTCAGTAACACACAAAACTGCTTATTACATGGCTACACATTGCACTCTGTCATAATAATAGCTTACTAATTCTTTATTTAAACACAAAGCTGACAGAAACTAAAGCAGCTGATGGAGTATACACTAACCTGCGCATTATTCAGACACAAGATGGTGCCAAATAGTCAAAAACACAAAGCTGACAGAAATGAAAACAGCTGATGGAGTATACACTAACCTGCGCATTATTCAGACACAAGATGGAGACAAACAGTCAAAAACACAAAGCTGACAGACGAAAACGCCTGATGGAGTATACACTAACCTGCACATTATTCAGACACAAGATGGAGACAAACAGTCAGAAACACAAAGCTGACAGATGAAAACAGCTGATGGAGTATACACTAACCTGCGCATTATTCAGACACAAGATGGAGACAAACAGTCAAAAACACAAAGCTGACAGAAGCTAAAACAGCTGATGGAGTATACACTAACCTGTACATTATTCAGACACAAGATGGCGCCAAACAGTCAAAAACACAAAGCTGACAGATGAAAACAGCTGATGGAGTATACACTAACCTGCACATTATTCAGACACAAGATGGCGCCAAACAGTCAAAAACACAAAGCTGACAGAAATGAAAACAGCTGATGGAGTATACACTAACCTGCGCATTATTCAGACACAAGATGGCGCCAAACAGTCAAAAGCACAAAGCTGACAGACGAAAACGCCTGATGGAGTATACACTAACCTGTGCATTATTCAGACACAAGATGGAGACAAACAGTCAGAAACACAAAGCTGACAGACGAAAACGCCTGATGGAGTATACACTAACCTAAGCATTATTCAGACACAAGATGGAGACAGTCAGAAACACAAAGCTGGCAGAAACTAAAGCAGCTGATGGAGTATACACTAACCTGTACATTATTCAGACACAAGATGGAGACAAACAGTCAGAAACACAAAGCTGACAGATGAAAACAGCTGATGGAGTATACACTAACCTGCGCATTATTCAGACACAAGATGGAGACAAACAGTCAAAAACACAAAGCTGACAGAAGCTAAAACAGCTGATGGAGTATACACTAACCTGCGCATTATTCAGACACAAGATGGCACCAAACAGTCAAAAACACAAAGCTGACAGATGAAAACAGCTGATGGAGTATACACTAACCCAAGCATTATTCAGACACAAGATGGAGACAGTCAGAAACACAAAGCTGGCAGAAACTAAAGCAGCTGATGGAGTATACACTAACCTGTACATTATTCAGACACAAGATGGAGACAGTCAGAAACACAAAGCTGACAGATGAAAACAGCTGATGGAGTATACACTAACCTGTACATTATTCAGACACAAGATGGCGCCAAACAGTTAAAAACACAAAGCTGACAGAAACTAAAACAGCTGATGGAGTATACACTAACCTGTACATTATTCAGACACAAGATGGCGCCAAACAGTCAAAAAATAAGGCGTGAAGGACAAGCAGATCCCTTGACATGTTGCAAATGACCAATCACAAACGAGTATCCCAGACAGCTGTGTAATAAAGCATTATAAACTATTCTAAAACTACTATTTTTTTCTAAAAACCATTATATGGTCCTTTAAAAGACTTTCATAATGTGTCAGGCTCTATTAAAAAAAAAACGCAAATCAACATTATGTCATAAATACAGCCAATATGGCTTGTACACAAACATTCATTTCACATCTGTAATATCAATCTGACACCACTACACAGATTTGAGCCTCCCTTTTCCATCTTTAACAGTTTCCTGAGCACTTATTCAGATATTCATTCACAATGCAGTGAAATAAACAAACCCCAAAACTAGCCTTTAAATATATTTCTTACTCTGCTTATTGACTGAAAGACAAATCATTAAGCGTTTGCTTCTATTATTTAGCAACACAATAAGACCTTGTCGAGGTGAAAGCAGACTGTGAAAGTGTTTTTTCCAGACTCTCCTGACAGAAACGCTGCTCTGTTTGGCTTCGTATGATAATGACATCATCACATGTGCTTCAGAGAGAGAAACAGCGCAGCACATCTGAGAGCCATTGGTGAACACGTCTGCCAATGAGAAACACTTCCAAACCTGACCAATTTACAGAGGAAGTGCGACTGTGTTGTAGAACTGAACTGGATTATTATATATATATATATATATATATATATATATATATATATATATATATATATATATATATATTCACAAAGATTACAAATTGCAAATGAACATTTAATTAGACAAGTAATAATGATAAATAATTACTATTAATTAACAAATATGTACAGGTATATATACCCTAAAGAGCTTAATAATATTTCGATCTGGTGACTGTGCAGGCCATGGGAGATGTTCAACTTCACTTTCATCTTTATCAAACCATTCTATTACCAGTCTTGATCTGTGTATTGGCCCATTATCATTACCAGCAGAGGTCGCTCTAGCCTAGTGTTTAAAGTCAGATGGCATTTTTGGCTAGTGTTTAACAGCAGATGGTGCTCTAGCCTAGTTTTAAACAGCAGATGGTGCTTTAGGCTAGTGTTTAACAGCAGATGGTGCTCTAGGCTTGTGTTTAAAAGCAGATGGCGCTCTAGGCTAGTGTTTAATAGCAGATGGTGCTCTAGGTTAATGTTTAACAGCAGCTGGTGCTCTAGGCTAGTGTTTAACAGCAGATGGTGTTCTAGGATTGTGTTTAACAACAGATGGTGCTCTAGGCTAGTATTTAACAGCAGATGGTGCTCTAGGCTAGTGTTTAACAGCAGATGGTGCTCTAGGATAGTGTTTAACAGCAGATGGTGCTCTAGGATAGTGTTTAACAGCAGATGGTGCTCTAGGATAGTGTTTAACAGCAGATGGTGCTCTAGGATAGTGTTTAACAGCAGATGGTGCTCTAGGATAGTGTTTATCAACAGATTGTGTTCTAGGATAGTATTTAACAACAGATGGTGCTCTAGGCTTGTATTTAACAGCAGATGGTGCTCTAGTGTTTAACAGCAGATGGTGCTCTTGGATAGTGTTTAACAGCAGATGGCGCTCTAGGCTAGTGTTTAACAGCAGATGGTGCTCTAGTGTTTAACAGCAGATGGCGCTCTAGGATAGTGTTTAACAGCAAATGGTGCTCTAGGCTAATGTTTAACGGCAGATGGCGCTCTAGTGTTTAACAGTAGATGGCGCTCTAGGCTAGTGTTTAACAGCAGATGGCGCTCTAGGCTAATGTTTAACGGCAGATGGCGCTCTAGTGTTTAACAGTAGATGGCGCTCTAGGCTAGTGTTTAACAGCAGATGGCGCTCTAGGCTAATGTTTAACGGCAGATGGCGCTCTAGTGTTTAACAGTAGATGGCGCTCTAGGCTAGTGTTTAACAGCAGATGGCGCTCTAGGCTAGTGTTTAACAGTAGATGGCGCTCTAGACTAGTGTTTAATAGTAGATGTCGCTCTAGGCTAGTTTTTAACAGCAGATGGCGCTCTAGACTAGTGTTTAATAGTAGATGGCGCTCTAGGCTAGTGTTTAATAGCAGATGGTGCTCTAGGTTAATGTTTAACAGCAGATGGTGCTCTAGGCTAGTGTTTAACAGCAGATGGTGTTCTAGGATTGTGTTTAACAACAGATGGTGCTCTAGGCTAGTATTTAACAGCAGATGGTGCTCTAGGATAGTGTTTAACGGCAGATGGCGCTCTAGTGTTTAACAGTAGATGGCGCTCTAGGCTAGTGTTTAACAGCAGATGGCGCTCTAGGCTAATGTTTAACGGCAGATGGCGCTCTAGTGTTTAACAGTAGATGGCGCTCTAGGCTAGTGTTTAACAGCAGATGGCGCTCTAGGCTAGTGTTTAACAGTAGATGGCGCTCTAGACTAGTGTTTAATAGTAGATGTCGCTCTAGGCTAGTTTTTAACAGCAGATGGCGCTCTAGACTAGTGTTTAATAGTAGATGGCGCTCTAGGCTAGTGTTTAATAGCAGATGGTGCTCTAGGTTAATGTTTAACAGCAGATGGTGCTCTAGGCTAGTGTTTAACAGCAGATGGTGTTCTAGGATTGTGTTTAACAACAGATGGTGCTCTAGGCTAGTATTTAACAGCAGATGGTGCTCTAGGATAGTGTTTAACAACAGATGGTGCTCTAGGCTAGTGTTTAACAGCAGATGGTGCTCTAGGCTAGTGTTTAACAGCAGATGGTGCTCTAGTGTTTAACAGCAGATGGCGCTCTAGGCTAGTGTTTAACAGCAGATGGTGCTCTAGGATAGTGTTTAACAGCAGATGGTGCTCTAGGATAGTGTTTAACAGCAGATGGTGCTCTAGGATAGTGTTTATCAACAGATTGTGTTCTAGGATAGTATTTAACAACAGATGGTGCTCTAGGCTAGTATTTAACAGCAGATGGTGCTCTAGTGTTTAACAGCAGATGGTGCTCTAGGATAGTGTTTAACAGCAGATGGCGCTCTAGGCTAGTGTTTAACAGCAGATGGTGCTCTAGTGTTTAACAGCAGATGGCGCTCTAGGATAGTGTTTAACAGCAAATGGTGCTCTAGGCTAATGTTTAACGGCAGATGGCGCTCTAGTGTTTAACAGTAGATGGCGCTCTAGGCTAGTGTTTAACAGCAGATGGCGCTCTAGGCTAATGTTTAACGGCAGATGGCGCTCTAGTGTATAACAGTAGATGGCGCTCTAGGCTAGTGTTTAACAGCAGATGGCGCTCTAGGCTAATGTTTAACGGCAGATGGCGCTCTAGTGTTTAACAGTAGATGGCGCTCTAGGCTAGTGTTTAACAGCAGATGGCGCTCTAGGCTAATGTTTAACGGCAGATGGCGCTCTAGTGTATAACAGTAGATGGCGCTCTAGGCTAGTGTTTAACAGCAGATGGCGCTCTAGGCTAATGTTTAACGGCAGATGGCGCTCTAGTGTTTAACAGTAGATGGCGCTCTAGGCTAGTGTTTAACAGCAGATGGCGCTCTAGGCTAGTGTTTAACAGTAGATGGCGCTCTAGACTAGTGTTTAATAGTAGATGTCGCTCTAGGCTAGTGTTTAACAGCAGATGGCGCTCTAGACTAGTGTTTAATAGTAGATGGCGCTCTAGGCTAGTGTTTAACAGCTCATTGCAGTGATCAGAGCTTGCATAATCTTAATAATAGTCAAAGAGTATCACTGACCACTGACATCCAGAGTAATGGAGTCCTGAGTGTCCTCAATGCCGTGCATGACCTCGCAGCGATACACCCCGGCGTCACTGGCCCTGAGTCTGGAGATGGTCAGAGAAGCGTCCCCTTGGTCTTCCGGTCGGCTGGGCACTGACACCCGGCCCATATACTCTTGGCCCATTTTGATGATGCCGTTCTGGGCCACCACAGCGACGGCTTCCCCATGGCTCTGGAGTTTGGTCCACTTGATGCGCAGGTGATCAGAGTGAGTTATGACGGAGGAGCCCGGTAGCGGCGGCAGCACCAGAAAACGACACGGTAAAACAACAGACTGCGCTAGAGCGCCGTGGACCCGGGAAGAGCTCCGAACCACCCGCATCCGGCGAACAGAGTCTGATGGGGGACAGAGGGGGAGTTTTAACAAGAGTGCACAAGCTAGTCAACAGGTACCCTCCTAAAAACGTAGCTACACTGTAAAATCTGATTAAAAAATATATTTAATTTAAAGTACAATTTTTAATCAAATGTTGGATTTGTTCATTTTTGACCCAATGTTTGGTTAAAACAACCCAGTATTTTTTTTTTTTTTTTTGTTTACCTAAAAGTATTTTAGGAATTATTAGAATTGTAGTTGGTGTATTATTTTCTAATAATTAAATGAACTGGAGTTTCATGGGGTTTTCAGTTTCATTTCATTTGACCTTTACACTCTAAGGATGATGGGTTGTTTAGACTTAGTGTTGGGTCAAACAACGACAAACCCAATGTTAAATTTAGCTTTTTGTTTTCAAATTCAATTCAAATGACGCTTTTGAACTCAATGCTGGCTTTGTCCAAATTCAACCCAATCCAACATTATGTTTAGAGTGTACCTAAAAGTAGCTAGTTACATTGAAACTGCTTTTTTCACAATGATGTATAAAGTAAGAAACCACTGACTCAAATCTGTTGAGTTATTAGAAAACAACTGCTGCATTATTTTCTAATAATTCAACGAACTGAAGTTAATTATACTTTATACACTCTTAAAATGATGGGTTGTAATCATCCATTGTTGGTTTAAATATGGCTAACGCCAACTGGTGGGTTATAAGGTGTTATTTAAATCTAATAAATAAAAATGCACCCAATGATAGGGGGTTTGTCCATATCTGACCCAACTTTGGGGTAATTTACAGTCAATCTAAACATGATTTAGACAACAGAAGTGTATTTGTGAAATATTTTATACTAGTGTGCACAAGCTAGTCAACAGGGACCCTCTTAACCCTTAAAGACCTAGAGGTATTTTGTGGGCACCTAATGGGCCTATATTATTATTTTTTTTAAAAGCAGTTTTATTTTTATTTTAGCAGTCAGCCTCAAGTGTCATATATCATTTTAAACAGGAGAACCTGAAGTTTCAATCTGTATCATTTAAAGGTCCAGTCTAAAATATTTTTTGGTCCAAAAACATATGAAAAGACAGAAAATATTCCAGAATTTTTCAGAAACGATTTTTTAAAAAAGTGGCATTTTCCAGTTATTTCAAACAAAACCTTATGAAGTTTGTTTTTCTTTCTTTAGAAATACATGCTATGATGTTTTATACTTCCAAAATAAATTTTGTCTACATCCACAATTCCCTGAGCAAGTTATAGCAATTTATTTCAATGTTATTCCAAGGCGTTTTTCTATGGGGGAAAAAATGCATTTATTTACTGACAATGTATTTGCCCAAAAGTTCTGGGAATGAACTAAACAGAAAAAAAAAATGTTACAAAATAATAGAACAGTGAAGCAAATTTGACTTTTTCCAAATAATATATTTTCAGTTACTATAAACAACACCACTTACAATGAACAAATAAAAAAAATAAGAAAATAATAAATAATGTGTCAAAGTCCAAATAAACATGGTGCAAATCCTCAGTAAAAAAATAGATATAAATATTTACTATACCATAAATAGTTACATAACTAAACTAGATTCAATATGGAACATCCTTAGGTTTTATGTGCCAGCATGGATATGGTTGTCTGTGGATATGGATTTGGATATGGTTGTCTGCAATGCAGACAAACAGCTGCACCTTCATTTGCGTCTTTCGAAAACAGCAAGAGCAGCAGTTCGTCTTTGCTGTGTCACTGTTTTGTCATGTTTCTGTGCTGCTGTGCATGCAAAAGTACTTAGTATGAAAATTATTTCATGCAAAACATTTTTTTTTTTGCGTTTTATTTAGCCGCGCATAAATGTATGCCTTTCTCTCATTCCGTGTTGTTCAAAAAGCTTGTTGATCCACAAACAAAAGCGAAACCTATGCTTATTGGTTGTGATATAGCGAGTTTGAACCAATCTGGGCATGGAGGAGGGACAATGCATCAATGTATGATGTCTGGTTTGTCCGGAGACACAGTGACGAGCGTTTCTTTGTCAAATCAGCGTTGTCAAATTTTGATGACGTAACCGCACTGATTCCGGAGCCTCTGAAAGTCCGCGAATGTTATGTGATACAGCACTGGAAAGCTGAGATTCTCTTCTTTATGCCAATCTTTGAATTGTATGAATCGGATCAGCGGATCAAAAGTTATTAAACATTTAAGAGCAATACTTATTTTTAGCCGCGGGCGGCTGTCTCGGTCTTTAAGGGCTAAAAACGTATTTATGTACACTACAAGTTACTAAACTCTAAAAAATGCTGGGTTGTCGATGTTGGGTCGATGCAATCTTGGGTTAAATGTGGACAAACTTAAAGATGGGTCAAAATTTTCAATACAATTTAAATTATAATTTTTAACCAAATGGTGGGTTTGTCCATTGTGACCCAACATTTTTAGAGTGTACTAAAAAGTAGTTAGAGGTCTGTTGAAATATTAGAAAATATATGCACACCTGAGTTGAAGCTTTATTTTCAAATAACTCAATGAACTGGAGTCAGTTCTACCTTACACTCAAAAAATGATGGGTTGTTATAACTCTATGAAGCGTACATTTTTTGCAACTAAATTAAAATTACACTATTGAATCCAATGGATTTGACCAAACGTTGGGTTAAAGCATCAGCATTTTTTGAGTACCTAAAAGTATGTAAGACGCATACAGTATGCAAGGAAGTTAGTGAGTTGATGCATTATTTTCTAATAATTCAATGAACTGGAGTCAAGTATACCTTAGACACTCTAAAAACAATGGGTTGTTGTCACCCAATATTGGGTCAAATATGGACAACCTCAACAGGTGGGTTATAAAGTCTTATTTAAATCAATAAGTAAATCAATAATGTAGCCAATGTTGGGGTTGTCCATATTTGACTCAACTTTGGAGTAGGAAAACTCAGCATTTGCAATGTTATGTGTATGCAATGTTTTATTGGCATATTTACAGTCAAACTGAACATGATTCAGACAACAGTGGTATACTTGTGAAATGTTTTATACATGCACAAGCTAATCAACAGATTCCCTCCTAATTTCGTATTCATTCAATTCAATACACCTTTATTTGTATAGCGCTTTTACAGTTAGCTGCACTACAAGTTACCACACTCTAAAAAATGGTAGGTTGTCAATGTTGGGCCGATGCAATGTTGGGTCAAATATGGACAATCCTAATATTGGGTCAAATTTTTCAATTCAATTTAAATTAAACTTTTAACAACTGAAACTTTTTTAATCAAATGGTGAGTTGTCTTTACATAATGTTGGGTTCAAACAGCCCTGCATTGTTTTAGAGTGCACCTAAAAGTAGAGTTGTGTAGAAAATATGCACACCTGAGTTGATGCATTACTTTCTAATAACTGAATGAACTGGAGTCAGTTATACCTTTACAGTCTGTAAAAGATGGTTTGCTAAAATCCAATGTAGCTTAATTTTTGCAACTCAATTTAAATGACTGAATCTAATGGATTTGACCCAATGTTGGGTTAAAGCAACAGCATTTTTGAGTACCTAAGAGTAGCTATGATCAATACAGTATGCAAGGAAGTTAGTGAGTTGATGCATTATTTTCTAATAATTCAATGAACTGGAGTCAAGTATACCTTAGACACTCTAAAAACAATGGGTTGTTGTCACCCAATGTCAAATATGGACAACCTCAACAGGTGGGTTATAAAGTCTTATTTAAATCAATAAGTAAATCAATAATGTACCCAATGTTGGGGTTGTCCAGCATTTGCAATGTTATGTGTATGCAATGCTTTATTGGCATATTTACAGTCAAACTAAACATGATTCGGACAACAGTGGTATACTTGTGAAATGTTTTATACATGCACAAGCTAATCAACAGGTTCCCTCCTAAAACTGTAGTTAGCTCCACTACAAGTTACCACACTCTAAAAAATGGTGGGTTGTCAATGTTGGGCCGATGCAATGTTGGGTCAAATATGGACAATCCTAATATTGGGTCAAATTTTTCAATTCAATTTAAATTAACCTTTTTTTTTAACCGAATAGTATTTTTTTAACTTAATGCTGGGTTCAAACAACCCAGCATTTTTTGAATGCTCCTAAAAGTAGTTAGTGATAAGTAGAAAATATGCACACCTGAGTTGATGCATTATTTTCTAATAACCAAATGAACTGGAGTCAATTATACCTTTACAGCCTAAAAATGATGGGTTGTTTTAACCCAATGTAGCTTAATATTTTGCAACTCAATTAAAATGACACATTTGGATTTTACCCAACGTTGGGTTAAAGCAACACAGCATTTTTTGAGTACCTAAAAGTAGCTATGATCAATACAGTATGCAAGGAAGTTGGTGAGTTGATGCATTAGTTTCTAATAATTCAATGAACTGTAGTTACTGTGAAGACAATGGGTTGTTGTCACCCAATATTGGGTCAACTATGGACAACCTCAACAAATGGGTTATAAAGTCTTATTTAAATCAATAAGTAAATAAATAATGTAGCAAAAGATACAAAGTAAATCGGCACACTGCCACTTTAGCTCTCTCAAAAAAATTTTTTAATGATTTTTAGATTTTCTAGATGTGCGCACATTTCTGTTTTTTGCTAAATAAATAATGTACCCAATGTTGGGTTTGTCCATATTTGACTCAACTTTGGGGTAATGAAACCCTTAATTTTTAGAGTGTACACATTTTTTTCCTGCTATGAATTAATATTAGCCTTTACATGGAATGTTTATTAGGTTAATCCCAATCTTGATAAGATAGCATCAATGCCACCCTTTTAAGAGTTTTAAAACATCAAGAAGTTCACTATCCCAAATGTGAAAGAATTGAAACTACATCTCACCATCCTGCGAGTAGGCGCTGCAGACACAGATCAGCCAGAGGATGTGCTTCACGTCCAACAACATCATCTCAAACCTGCAAACAAATACAGCTTTTCATTTGGTGAAGCTCAGCTCCAAACATCTGCAGCCACAGTTACAGTTTACTCAAACGAGGCTTGGTTGTCAAACTCTTTCTGTTCATGTCTGCTTGTGTCTTTGTTCCAGCTCCAGCGAGGTCTACACACTCACTGCTTGTTTCCATGTCTCCTTTATCAAAATGACACTGCCATCAGAACCCGCGTCTGCTACAGCTCCATTTACAGATATACAGCGCTACAAACGCGTGCATAAGGACAGTTATACTATAATATAAGATGTTTATGTGGTGACTAAAACCAATGACAGTCTAACTGAACCACACACGCCCTTAATAGCGCACACACTCCTTAAACACTACAGTAGACAGCGATATATTATACAGCATCGCGCTCCGCTCTCTAGCAATCATCATCAGTCTATATTAATAATGATCAACATTCGCAACAGCCCGACAGCTCATCTGAAGCAATGCACTGATAAATCACACTCCCAACAGCAGCATGAAAGTGATAAGAGCAGATAAGTGGATCTCAATGAGCTGCCAAACGCAAACAAAGCTTCAGACTGACACAAAGAGAGGACCTGAGCTCTATAGTGCGTATAAATAATGGAAAAGTCAAGCAAATCACTTGTTATGTGAACAAACCAAAGTGTATTACACGATATATGTAGGCTATAACACTTTATTAATGAATGCTCCATCATACTGTAATTATAGTCACCTTGATAAACTGTGGTACTGCCTACTTTAGTTTCTATAGGTGCATTAGAGTGTAATAAACCCTATACTGTAGTTATACTGTACAATATTGGCTAATTGGTTTATATTATTATAGTCTAGTTTTTGTGTTACCATCAACATAGAATAATTCAAAAACTACACAATAAAAATGCTGGGTTATAGGCTAGTAAGCCAATGTTGGGTCAAATATAGATATTTGTTTGTAAATTAATCTTAAATTGCACATTTAACCCAACGTTATGTCATAACAACCCATATTTTATTTTAAAGTGTAGTATTTTAGGCTACTTTCTAATTGTGACTGAATCGTTAATAATAGCAATAGCAATAATAATAGTAATAATAATAATAATAATAATAATTAATAATAATAATAATCTTACTTATTTTTCCAGTTCCTGATCTTTTAGTTTTTCCGATCTGGTCTTCTCCTGATCCTCCGAATTCAATCCTTAAGAAAATCTGCGGTGTTTGTGAATCTCCTTAGTGAACCGCAGACTTCAGTGCTCTTTCTTTCCCAGATGCCCACGAAAAGACTGAAGACATGAGCCGGCAGCAAGTTCAAATTCCATGTCCACCCATATAATGTCGTCAGTTTGCAGAGGAGGGGCAGAAAGTGCCCACCCAAAATCCATCTGATCCATCCTGCATCTGAGTGGAGAACAGCGATGCTTCCGCGCTATTCATTCACACGCACTCTTAAGAAATGTTGGGTTATTTCAATCTAAATTGGGTAAAATATAAGGACAGACCCAAACAATGAGTAAAATTTAGTCTTATGCATTTAATTTAAAAATAAAAAAAACAACCAGGCAGATAGTTTAGTCCGTATTATATCCATAATTGGGTTGAAATATGCCAATTTTAATGTATACGCGCCGTATATTGAAGCACGCATTAACTTATTTCAACAAAGCTCGGGTGTTTAGCTTCTTTACACAGAATGAAACAAATAAAAACAAAATTTAGTCGTTATATGCAGTATTTCTCTCATGAATTTAATGCAATAATGTGCAATAGCCTATTAATAATAATATTAATAATTCAAGAGATTACATGAAGTATTTTTAAGGCAAGCTATTTATATGGGGTGAATTTAAACAAATTAAATGTATTAACTTTAGTCAACTTAATTTTATAGTTTAAATAAGCCCATATAAATTGTTTGCAATCACTTACCTTAAATAATGAGTCTTTTTTTCCTCAGTGTATGTCATTGTGGGGGAAACAAGCAAGTTTACTGTTGCCAATGTAGTTCTTTTAAGCCAATGTTGGATCAAATATGGACAAATTTAATATTTGGGGTAAATAAGTGTCATTTAAAAAAATAATTTTACATCTTAACCGAATGGTTGTTGTCCACGTCCCAGCGTTTTTACTATCTTTAAACATGAGATGCATTTAAGATCTGGCAATGCTTCATTTTCCCTCAGAACTGACTATATCTTGCAGTTACTACTTGTAAACTGGAAATTTTAAGAAAAACTTAAGTCAGATATGCGAGATGTAAAGTTTATAGATATAAAATATAAGAAGTGAGGGTATAAACAGTGAACTCTGATGGAGAAATGTCATAAATTGCACTAAATAATTAAACTGAGAACACTGGAGATACCAGAATTGCGAGATAAAAGCGAGGTTTCATCTCAATTTATACTTGTAAACTGGCAAAATTCAGAAAGAGTCAAAATTGCTAGACATTAACTTTATAGAAATAAATTCATATTTGTAAGACATTTAAAAACAGTCAGAATTTATTTAAATATAGCCTACTCATATCTCACAACTCCGATGAGTGAGATATAAATTCAGACTTGAGTAATATATATTAGGAAATATATTATATAATTGCTATAAATATAGTGCGAATAGTGAAATAAAGTCGTAATTGCAAGTGGGGGGAAAATGGGAGTATCAGAATTGTTAAGTAAATATGAACATAAAATTCTGTAATTTCAAGTTTGCTTCTCATCATTTATTTTACGTGCTATTTAAGTTATATCGCGGGATTCTGCCATGTTTTCCCGAGACAAGAAATGGCGGGAATTTTGAATTTAATGGCGGTAAAGGGGTTTCATAACGACTCTAAACGGATTAACGGTGTTTTAACCTATACTCTTTAAAAAAATACAATAAAATCTTGCATCTGCAGAAGATAGTTATTCAAAATCCACAATCTTGAGTGCATAAGGTCTACTGAAATATCCCAAGACTATTTGTAAGATTTTAGGATATATTCAGACTTTGACTTGAAATTAAATCAAGATTATATCATTATACAAATCAAATATAAGTAGATGTTTTACATGTGTGACAGAGGCTGCATGCAGGGGTAAATGAGTGGTGTGAAAGTGACTGATTTTACTCTTGTGAACTATGAGCTTGCCTCAGTTTTCCACACGGGGGAGAGAAGATCCGCCTGTTTGGGCTTTAATTGTTTATTCTCACTACTTGTTTGATCGAAAACACAATAAATCAACAATAATAAATACTTATTAAAATGCTGATGTAATTTACACTAGCTTTTAGAGTCACATGATCCTTCAGAAATCATTCTATAATGACTTGATGACAAAAATATTAACGTCAGCGTTAAAACAGTTGTCCATATTATGCTTATGCTTTGATTAAAAAGAAATTAGTTTGAGGCATAAATAACTGTCTTTAACCTTTGATCAAATCGATGTGCGCTTGATAAAAGCAATCTTTCATTTAAAAGAAGCACTGTATTTTAAGCTACGGGTATATTGCACAAAATGGATAAAATTGGAGCAGATATTTCTTTTACCTATGCAGCTTTTCCCATTACTGTTCATCACATTTAGTCAGTTAAAATCACATTTACATTTACAAACATGCTATATTTAAAAATCGTTTAATATAACTATACTATACATGGCGGTTCATTCCGCTGTGGCAACCCCAGATTAAAGACATTTCTTTATGACTAAAACTTCAAAAGGTTATGGATAAGCTATGGTAATTCTTATAGTTTAATAAAAATATAGATTTTTGGAAATCACCAGGCGACCCCCCTTGATTGTCCCGTGACCTCTCGGGCGGTCCCGAACCCCACTTTGAGAACCAATCCTTTAGATTACCGGCAGGATGTTTTTCACCTTATGTGTTTTTTCTGCTTGAGTTGGATTTTTCAATCATGAATTTTAGGGGTGCAACGCATTATGGTTGAGCCGTGATTTATACGGGTCACAACCCACAGTTCGGAACACACGTAACTCACAAATCGCATGTATGAAAGCATTTAGGCTTTCCTGTAAAATATAACAATGACAGAAGACATTGCGGTGGGTTAAACAGGATGTGGTGGGTTTCTCAGGTTATCAAAGGTGTTTTCTGTCACTACTTGTTTAACCTGCACTAATGCATTCAGTGTAAGCTTCACGATTAATCATTAAAAGATCGGGATCTCAACACCCACGCAACATCAATTATAAATGATGGTGATTTGCATGTTTATTAATCCTTCCAATCGCTGCATTTAAATCTGAAAGTCTTTAGTTTACAGTCAAAGAACAGAAGTACTGGCAGAACAGTTTATAGTTTAGATATAACCAGTGATGTCGATGGTAAAGATTAAAATCACCATCATATGCATTTATCTACGCTCAAAAATGAAAGTTGTAGGCAGCAATTACATTATTTAACCAGTAGGTGGCGACAACCAGCCATCAAAAATATACCACTGAATAATTCTTCAACAATGATCATCTAGTAATGAAACATGAAGTGAAAAACTGAATCATTTATTGAAGATGAGACTGAAAATAAATATGGGCTGTACAAATTGTTCGATTTTGACATTTAGTGTTATCAGCAACAGCAGCAGAAACAGTGATTTATTTACAGTACTGAATATTTTGCAGTTTACTTTTATTTCTTTTTTTTTTATGAAACCAAAAGTGTTTTTGCCTGATCCGAAAAATGGTCCGATCCGGGATTAAAAAACGATAATGTGATCCGAACCGGAAGATTTGTGATCCGTTATACCACAAATGAATTTACATTTGCTTTTGGAGTTGGAAGTGTTCCACTGGTGTTGAATCTTCTCAACTCGCGTGGAGGATGTGATTGAGGCGAATTCCACACATTAACATCCGATTCACATGGGGCTTCAGCGCCAACACTTGACAGAGGGGGTGTCTGAATTTGGGGCTGAAGCGATTCAATGAAATTAGTCGGCAATAGGCCACTGTCTGAGCTGGTGTATTTGCATAAAGCGATCTGATTGGCTGACGCTTACGTCTGCGCTTAAAAAGTTGAGGAAGTCCTAACTTCTGCAGCAAGCAACTCCACTGAAGTGGCGCAGACGGATCTATAATGCAGTTCGACAATGCCTGACGTCACCCATTCAAAGTGAAAGGGAAGCGTTGATGGTGTTGCCCCGTGTGAACGGGCTGTAATAGTCAACCCAGGCTCATTCCAAAAACTTAGCCCCGCGGATGTTTCTGGAGACCGCAAAATATGTCCCGGGAGGTATGTACTTCAGCAGTTTTTTGTTTTCGCGAATCCACTAGAGGCCGCTGTGTGCGCTTTTTTGCATCTCAAATGTCTCGCGAGTGCCGTTCGCGCCCGCGCTGTTCTCGCGCGAACCCACCAGAGGCCGCTGTCTGACTCACTGAGTGATTGACTGCGCGACCGGCCAATCGCCTGACCCTCCTCCTTCCCTAAACCCAACCAGTTTTACCGATTGACCCGGCCACCCGCTCACTTCCCGAAACCTGAGCAACAATTTAGAAAAGCTTTCCAAAAAAAAGAAAAGCCCTCGTATGATTTTATTTTTTGCCGCGTTTTGGGATTTTACTACGTTCTCACCCTGTTATGAACTCGTTCACTTTATTTTTTGGATTCTGTTTTTGTCTTACCTGATTTCTGGAACCGCTCTTCCCCGGACTCGAACCTGGTCATTTGTTGCACGCCTGGAAATTTCTTTTATAGTATGTAAAAAACATGCATAATTGAATTTGCATTTGTTTTGAACCCAGCAGGAGTAAACAAATGAAATAATCCATGCAAGTTGAAAACCTAGCTGTTGAGATGTAAATGCATTTTAAATCAAATTAAGATCCCTACTTAGCAAAAAAGAGACAAAAAACAACCTCATCCACATTTATTATCTTTATCAACACCTTACATCTTCATTAAACATTGTACTGTTGTTACAAAAATAGTGTTCCTTCTTTAAACGTAATATTGTAGCAGGGTTAGACTATAAAATACTTTTAAAATGACAATTTTATTTCTCCTCTAGTTTAAAAACAGTAGTCATGCTCATCATTAGAGCGTCATATATCATCAAACAGCTCATCTGGATCAAGGTTTGCAGCAGTGTTTGCAGGCTTCACCGGGACACTTGACGTTCTGCTGGTCGCAGCTTTGGTTTCTTCCACCGGCTTCTCTCTAAAATTACAAAGTGAAGGGAACACGAGTGAACAAAAGGTGAAGGTTAAATACATAGCAGGAGCCAGTATAAGTCATGACACTGGAGGAAAGTCCTGATTACAGTCAAACATGATCCGCCACAGGCTGCTTACAGCGGGGTCAAGTCTAAACGCTGTACAGTTCAGCCTGCTTCTGTCAGGACTGCGCTGTAAAACTGCTCCTTTATAATCAGCCGCATGCCATGTGTTTTCAGCTGCACACTTTTACTGGATGCTAGTAAGAGTTTGAAGGTCACAGATGTACAGGTTGTCCAGGGTGGATCCCATGTACATCCTGACAGACACGTAGAGGTGGCTATGCACGCAAGAAAATAAACCCAAAATGCCCTGTAACTTCAAGACAAACCGAGAAAAATGCACCAAAAATACTATCAAATATTCACAAGTTCAAATGATTTATTCGTTATCACTAAAAACAAGCCAATCAGGGGTGTTTAAATCGTTTATAGTTAAAAATAATCCAATCTGAGGTGTTTAGAGTTGTTGTTGCTAAAGATGAGCCAATCAGAAGTATTTGTAACCATTATCATTACAAATGGGCCAATAAGAAGCATATAGATGAGTCATTCCTGAAAATGCACCAATCAAAAGCATTTAGACGAGTAATTCCTGAAAGCACACCAATCAGAAGCATTTAGATTCATAAACAACTCGAAGGATTTATATTTGTTACCACTGAAAACAAGCTAATTAGAAAGTTTAAAGCGGTCATAGCTGAAAATAGGCCAATCAGAGTTGTTCAGAGTTGTCATTGCTAAATATGAGCCAATCAGAAGTATTTGTTACCATCATCATTGAAAATGGGCCAATCAGAAGCAGTTAGACGAGTCAGTGCTGAAAATGCACCAATCAGAAGCACTTAGATGAGTCTGCGAAAAAATGAGCCAATCGGCTGCATTTATTGAACTTCACTGAAGATGAGCCAATCAGAGTTCAGATTTGTTATTGTTAAAAATGAGCCAATCAGATGCATTTGTTTTGATCATCAATAAAGACGATCCAATCAGAAGAGTTCAGATTTGTCATTGCTTAAAAAAATGAGCCAATCGGATACATTTATTTTGATCATCAATGAAGATGAGCCAATCAGAGGAGTTCAGATTTGTCACTGCTAAAAATGCACCAATCAGATGCATTTATTTTGATCATCACTGAAAACAAGCCAATTAGAGGTGTTCAGATGTGTCATTGCTAAATATGAGCCAATCAGAAGTATTTGTTACCATCATCATTGAAAATGGGCCAATCAGAAGCAGATAGACAAGTCAGTGCTGAAAATGCACCAATGAGAAGCACTTAGATGAGTCTGCGAAAAAATGAGCCAATCGGCTGCATTTATTGAACTTCACTGAAGATGAGCCAATCAGAGTTCAGATTTGTTATTGTTAAAAATTAGCCAATCAGATGCATTTGTTTTGATCATCAATAAAGACGAACCAATCAGAAGAGTTCAGATTTGTCATTGCTTAAAAATGAGCCAATCGGATACATTTATTTTGATCTTCAATGAACATGAGCCAATCAGAGGAGTTCAGATTTGTCACTGCTAAAAATGCACCAATCAGATGCATTTATTTTGATCATCACTGAAAACAAGCCAATTAGAGGTGTTCAGATGTGTCATTGCTAAATATGAGCCAATCAGAAGTATTTGTTACCATCATCATTGAAAATGGGCCAATCAGAAGCAGATAGACAAGTCAGTGCTGAAAATGCACCAATGAGAAGCACTTAGATGAGTCTGCGAAAAAATGAGCCAATCGGCTGCATTTATTGAACTTCACTGAAGATGAGCCAATCAGAGTTCAGATTTGTTATTGTTAAAAATTAGCCAATCAGATGCATTTGTTTTGATCATCAATAAAGACGAACCAATCAGAAGAGTTCAGATTTGTCATTGCTTAAAAATGAGCCAATCGGATACATTTATTTTGATCATCAATGAAGATGAGCCAATCAGAGGAGTTCAGATTTCTCACTGCTAAAAATGCACCAATCAGATGCATTTATTTTGATCATCACTGAAAACAAGCCAATTAGAGGTGTTCAGATGTGTCATTGCTAAATATGAGCCAATCAGAAGTATTTGTTACCATCATCATTGAAAATGGGCCAATCAGAAGCAGATAGACGAGTCAGTGCTCAAAATGCACCAATCAGAAGCACTTAGATGAGTCTGCGAAAAAATGAGCCAATCGGCTGCATTTATTGAACTTCACTGAAGATGAGCCAATCAGAGTTCAGATTTGTTATTGTTAAAAAGGAGCCAATCAGATGCATTTGTTTTGATCATCGATAAAGACGATCCAATTAGAAGAGTTCAGATTTTTCATTGTTTAAAAAAATGAGCCAATCGGATACACTTATTTTGATCATCAATGAAGATGAGCCAATCAGAGGAGTTCAGATTTGTCACTGCTAAAAATGCACCAATCAGATGCATTTATTTTGATCTTCACTGAAAACAAGCCAATTAGAGGTGTTCAGATGTGTCATTGCTAAATATGAGCCAATCAGAAGTATTTGTTACCATCATCATTGAAAATGGGCCAATCAGAAGCAGATAGACAAGTCAGTGCTGAAAATGCACCAATGAGAAGCACTTAGATGAGTCTGCGAAAAAATTAGCCAATCGGCTGCATTTATTGAACTTCACTGAAGATGAGCCAATCAGAGTTCAGATTGTTATTGTTAAAAATTAGCCAATCAGATGCATTTGTTTTGATCATCAATAAAGACGAACCAATCAGAAGAGTTCAGATTTGTCATTGCTTAAAAATGAGCCAATCGGATACACTTATTTTGATCATCAATGAAGATGAGCCAATCAGAGGAGTTTAGATTTGTCACTGCTAAAAATGCACCAATCAGATGCATTTATTTTGATCATCACTGAAAACAAGCCAATTAGAGGTGTTCAGATGTGTTATTGCTAAAAAAAAGAATAAAATCAGATACATTTATTTTGATCATCAATGAAGTTAAGCCAATCAGAGGGAACTACTAAAAATGAGCCAATCAGATGCATTTACTTTGATCATCAATGAAGACGAGCCAATCAGAGGAGTTCAGATTTGTCGTTACTAACAATGAGCCATTCAGATACATTTATCTTGACATTATTGAAGTTAAGCCAATCAGAAGTAACTACTAAAAAATGAGCCAATCAAATGAATTTATTTTAATCATCACTAAAGATGAGCCAATCAGAAGAGTTCAGATTTGTCATTGCTAAAAATGAGCTAATCAGATGCATTTATTTTGATCTCGCTGAAGATGAGCCAATCAGATTTCAGATTTGTCAGTGTTAAACTCTGCCTATCAGATGCATTTATTTGATCATCACTAAAGTTGAGCCAATCAGAAGTAACTGCTAATAAATGAGCCAATTAGATGCATTTAATTCAATCATCACTGAAAACGAGCCAATAAGAGGAGTTCAGATTTGTCATTGCTAAAATGAGCCAATCAGATCCATTTATTTTGATCATCACTAATGATGGTAAATGCAGATTATTCAAATAAAAGACAACACTGATGCAATTATTAGGGCTTTTTAGTATCTAAAAAATCTATTCAGCCTTAATGGAAAAGTAGTTTCCATTTCCATATCCAGGTGTGGATATGAAGACAAAATCAGTCATCGCTTCACGGTGACAAAATGAGCTGGTCAAAACTGCTTGGTCAGCACTGAAGTAAAAGTAGAGGAGGTAAAGCTGCAGTAATTCCCACAGGATGCGCCGCTGTATATGATCCACGGAAAGCTGTTCAAAGCGGAGGAGAATCAGGTCACAGAGAAAATAAAGGAGATTTATGGCCCTGTAAGGCTGTTAATTTCAGGATGTGCCCAGATCATGTTGCCTGTTAAGCTCAGCCCGTCCCAAAACACATGGACAACACACACACACATACACACACACAGAGTAAGTCAGATTACATGACATACAGTATAGTGAAGATGTTAAAAGTAAATGAAATGTTCTTTGGTTAATCTTAAGATTAATCCTGACAAAAGTCTTGTCTCCTATCCGGGTTTTAGAAACCCCAAACAATATCTGGACTTCTAGTTGATCATTTGGCATCAGAAGTGGCCTATATGAAAGGCAAAGGCCTCTAGATATTGATTATTTGAGCACAATAAAATCTGATCATGTCTTGATTGTTAATGATTTGATTAGGACAGTAAGGTCTGACTCTGCTTAGACTAAAGTGTCATCACTGAACAGAAATAATGTCCAGTATAGAATATAAAGTCCTGCTGCAGTGGAGACAGAATGAATATTGTGTCTGACTCCATCATGAGCTTGGAGGACTGCATCCATACATCTCTGACATGACTCACATCACTGATTAATAAAGTCATCTGGAATGGCAAAGAAAGCGTTCCTGCAGGACTCCCAGAGCTCATCAAGACTCTTTGTGTTCATCTTCAACGCCTCCTCCTTCATCTGACCCCAGACATGTTCAATAATGTTCATGTCTGGTGACTGGGCTGGCCAATCTTGGAGCACCTTGACCTTCTTTGCTTTAAGGAGCTTTGATGTGGAGGCTGAAGTATGAGAAGGAGCGCTATCCTGCTGAAGAATCTGCCCTCTCCTGTGGTTTGTAATGTAATGGGCAGAACAAATCCACCTTCTGACACTTTTATAAAGATCAACTAGAAACCTTTGTCTGGTATACTAAAATGAATTTACTAAAATAATAAATAGATAAAATATAAAAACAATACATAGATAATCTATTATTTACTAGTCATAATGTAATCTAATAAGCATATATAAAATCTATTCACATATCTTTAGGGCTAAATACATAAATAAATATACAACTTTAATACTAAATAAATAAATAATAATAAATATAAATAAAATATATGCAACGTTCACTAGAATCAATGCTTCACTTTCACTAATAAATAATAGTATCTATTATTAAGCATACAAGGAGAAGCAGTGGCGC